AGGGGTGGGAGGGGGGTGATGAGGGGGGAAGGTGGACGACGATAACACCAGCAGACGGCGGGTGTAGGACCAACAGCGGCCACTGCGGGACCCCTCGGGAAGACTGTGTGGATGGATGAGAGGGGGGGACAGTGTGTGGTGTGTGGGGGGACAAGGCGCCCCTCCAACTCGCAACTGGAGCAGAGTGCTTCGGCGGTATCCCTGTGATGTGTGCGGTGCGGTTAGGTGCGGCAACTCCTTTGATATCTCTCTATCAGCGTTTTGGACATTACATTACGAGTTGAAAGGAGAGCTGGCCCCATGCCCCGGTCAGTGTCGGCCAGGCAGATGTATAACAAATACATACACAAATACACACATACGTGCACACATACATACACACATGCATACATTCATACATACACAAGTACACACAAGTACACACAAGTACACACAAGTACACACAAGTACACACAAACATACAGACACTATCCGTACTCCTTACCACGGTGTCCCCGAACAGACAGAACCGCGGCATCTTGGCCCCCACAATGCCGCTCATGACGGCGCCCGAGTGGAGACCGATCCTCATCTCAACGGGGCGCCGCGTGGTGGGCAGCAACACCCGGGAAGCCTCGCGAAGCATGGCCTGATCAGGAAATACACAAGACGTACATACATACGCACATACATACATACACACATACATACATACACACATGCATACACACATTCAGTTCAATTAAAAAGCACCGCGCGATGGACAGATGGCATTTCATGCGCACGCTCAAGGAAGGGTGGGATATTTTCGCGCGCGCACGCACGCAGGGTATTTTCCAATGTTTATTAAACTCTTATACCTTCCAATTCATGCATATGTTTTTGCCATCATCCCTGGTTGGATATACGCAAACCAGTTTCCCTTCTGAGTACTCTTGAGACTGTTACACTCATGTTCTTTAAACTGCACCTCCGGTATATAATACCGGAACGGCTCACTGCTACTGCTGCTACCGCTGCTGCAGCTGCAGCTGCTCCTGCTTCTTCTGCCGCTTCTAAGGAGGAAATGTAGCGGCTCTCGATATACATATAACATATTCTCTTCGATTCCCCCCCCCGTTTTCAACGTTGCGTGATTGGCCAACGATGTTCTCCGTCCCCTTCGGATTGCCACCTCGATTTAGGAACACACATACATACATACAGACAGACAGACAACATTGAACACATAATACGCACATGACGCACACATAGCAGGCGGCTGGCAGAGGTTAAGGCCTGACTTCTGCTCCCAGTCGACCCAGTCGACCCGGGTTCAAATCCGCCTGCCGGCTCCTCGGGTGTTTGAGGAGTGATGAAATGGGAGGTGTCCCCCCATCTTATGGACGGTGTAGGACGTGATAATATCAACTTGCGAGCTGACCAGGAACTAAGTTGATGCGCCGTTGATCCGCTAGATTTGGTTGGATGCTGGTGGTGAGTTGCCGAACCCAACGAATACATTCTGAAGTCGGATGGGGTGACGGATTAGGGTGCCCCTCTAGCAGGGGAGAGCAGGGACTGCCCCGGGAAAGGGGGCCGCTGGCGAAGTTAACCACCCTGTAACAACATACATAGCGTATGTATGTATGCATGTCTGTCTACCTTTGCAAAGGCCATGACCTTGGCCGCATGTAGCTCGTCCACGCTGTCCGGACCCCGTACGGCCATGAAGCCATCCGAATCCCGGGTCATAAGGCCCCCCGCCACCATGTAACAGTCTGGAAAGTGTACGGGAGGGGAAACAATGCATACACATATACACGTACATACACGCACATCACGGTATGGGATGAAATTGCGGATTGGCGTGTGTGTATGTGTGTATGTGTGTGTATGTGTGTATGTGCATGTGTGTGTGTTGTCAGGGACGACACCCAAGGAGAATGAAGAACACGCTGCCCCCCTAGATATTTTTTTAAATTTCATCTAACAATCTCAAAAAAGGCATGATGGCATAATAAGTAAGTACGCAGTAAGGCACGAAAAGTCTCTTTACCTTTCCACCGTGGCGTACGGCCGACCACGGCAGACAGGCATGGACTGAGTTTGACTCGCGTCAGGTGGCCACCCCCCCCCCGCTTCCTCAACATCAACAATACACGCGACACGCCAGCCCCCCTCCCTCTTTACCGCGGCGGATATGTTTGTATGTATGCCCGAATATACCCGAGTGAACTTCCCCTTCCTACCACGCGTTTCACCCCTTCACCCCCCGCCCCCATGCACTACACGTACGTGTGTGTATGTGTACTACACACGCCGTACACAGGTGGTACAAGTCCCGCCTGATGGCCACCTCTTTCCCCCCCCCCTCGGGGCTCTCACCGCCGATGGTCTCCACTTTATACACGCCGTACACATCCAGCAGTGTGTCTGCCCATACCAGAAAGATGGAGGGGGGGAAAGGGAGTGAAGGGGAGTGAAGGGGAAAGGAGGAGAGGTATGTCTGTCTATCTGTCTGTCTGTCTGTCTGTCTGTCTGTCTGTCTGTCTGTCTGTCTGTCTGTCTGTCTGTCTGTCTGTACAAGTAGTGGGATAAGACCACGGCATCGCGCAAGGATACAGCGCCCACGGGCATATCACGGTTACCGGTTGGCTGTCACAAAGCTTCCCCCTTCCCACCCTCCCCACCCT